GGATCTTGTTGGGATTTGTGTAAGATGTCCAACCTGTGTATATTATTAAGGATGTTTGGGAAGTTTTTAGCTTCCCCTTTTTTTCCAGTTTCAAAACCATTTTTAATGAAAACTCCACGATCGAATGGTAGAGAAGTATAGTTCGAGTTCTTTAGTAATATTTTTAAGGACCTGTGGGTGTTGCAGGATGCTTTCAATCAAGCATTGCAATGTTTTATTACTAGGGTTTGACCTACAGATATGGTTATGGTAGGAGAGTGGTCAGACAATGTAATGCTTCTTATAGAAGACTTCTCAAGCAGGGCATGTCTATACAGTATGTTTGAAAAGGAAGAAATCTATACATAAACAGTGTTAGTGGTTAGGTTAATAGAATGTCTAATCATCGGTATCTGGGTGAAGATGCCAGGTATTTGTCAGTTGTAAGGAATGTGAAAACTGGATCATAAACTTAGATATAGAAGGAGACTTGTTCTACCTGTAGAAGTGTCCTTGGTGGGATCAAGAGAGAATTTTAAGTCTTCATCAAGATTTTTTTCTGTGAAAGTCTTTAACATAGTTAGAGTAGATTTCATAAAACAGGGTTTATTGAAATTGGGGGCATACACTGAGGCCAGAGTTGTTTTGGGCTTTCCTATCTGTCCTTTTAAGAAGAGAAATCTTCTGTCCAGTCCAGATATCACTGAGAGTCTAAGGAGCTGAGTGAGACCATAGAATAGATTGTTAAACTTGGCTTTGGGATTGGTGCTATCATAAACTCTAGGGTCTAGTGTCTATTACGTAACGTATCCTGAAATCTTACCATTTGTCTTTAACTGCTGCTGAAAAAAAGCAGTGTACTTTTGGGTACGTGACAGTGCCTAGGCTCTCGCATGCATACAACCTCATAATTATTTATCTGTACTGTGATTCTAACACACTGCTGTCTCTGGCAGTTAGTGTCAGGAGGACTGTAGTGGTATTTTATTACTGTTCTTCTTGCTGGAATCTGTGATATGAAAAAGCAAAATCCTACCAAGATGGCTGCCACCATAAAGAGACACAAAGCAGAACAGGGCATGGTAAGTGAGTAAATCGTGACAGATAAGCTCCAGGGGGCACACAGGCTCTACTGATGACCAATTCTTTGAGCTCTTCTTGTCTTTTTTTGGACAGTCTCCAGATTTCAGTTCATCTATAAGTGTAAAATTCCTCCTGATCCTGCAATGACTTCACTGGGTGCCTCTAATCCTGCCTCCTGAAAAACTGTTATATCTCAGCACACGTTGTAATTTTTGAATCCCAGCTTGTAGACAATAAAGCACAAATTCATCACATTAACCACTTATAGACTATTTAAAGACTAATTTTCCCTAACCTAAATTTAAAGTGTGTTCTGGTCAGTCAGGTGTTAGGAGGTTTTCTCCATCTTGTCCAGGGTCAGCGATGAGAAGTTCTCAGTGCTAAAGGATGGCACACGATTTATGAAAATATGTTAAGTCATAAGGCAGAAAACAGGTTTACTAAAACTGGAGATTGAAAATCTGGAGTAGCTCTGCACATAAACATCAGCTTCCAGATTTTTTTTTTGTCAAAGATTAAACTACATTGCATCTGAGCACTACAAACCAAAAACACTATTTAATTAATTTTTAAAGTTCAAAGCAAACCTCACCCATCCACTCACGTCTCCATGCTTTATTTTCTTGTGAAATCACTGTGAAAAAAACCACCTAGCATTTCTGACCCTGGCCATCTTGAGTAAGGGCAGATGTAGCATTTACTTCCTGGAATTCATCTACCCATAGCACAGGCATGCAGGTAGGAGGGTGTGCTTAGCTAGGAAAGCTCCTCCTCCTCCGAAGACTCATGGGATATATGACATCATTTGTCTAGGCAAAGATACCATGAAGTAACTGAAGAAATGAAAACAAAATGTTTAAAACAAGTAAATATAATATACATGACTATTTAGGTATTATTGGTAGCAGCATAAGGATTAAAAATATTCTGTGTTGATTGAGAGAGTGAAATTCAGCTTTAACTGAACAAGTTGAAGTCAGAAGCTGATTGCCTTCCATGCACAGCTGCACCAAATTTTGCTCTCTCCAGTTTTAGTAAATCAACCCCAAAGTGTCTACTGTATGGACTATGGACCCCATTTTTTGAGCCACTGCATCGATGTTGCAGTCTGGTAACTAGCATTTTAAAAGTATAGCTTAGAAATCTCAGCCTATTTTTTTTCTCTTTGCTCATGACAAGTTAACACTAAACCAAGCAATTTAAGTTAAGTTCACCTATTTTCCTGTGTCCCATCCTTACATAGCTCAGACCAGAACAGTCTCACAGAAGGAGCACGGCAATCATTATTCTCCTTTAAGAAGCTATAAGTTACAATTGCTCACTATAATTAGCATCTGGTTGGCACTGCTGTTTTCTACGCATCATTTTCCAGCTTGCCCATAGGAAAGTACACAACATGGCATCTTCTTATGGGTATTTATCATTGCACACTTGTCATGTAGCTTTGTTTTGCGTATTCCAACTGTGAATGTGTGTTTAACGGCACATTTAAAGAACGCTGAGCCATGCCTCAATTCAGAGTGTTTCTTCTGATAAATAACCTATTTGATTGCAGTGATGATGGTATTACATGGAGATGTCAGGGCAGTCTAGTATGTCATAGCTCTTGTACTGTGTGCACCTGAAATTGATTTAATAAAATGTTCACACTGCCTGCCCCAAGAATGTTTTCTGCAGCTGTTTAATTAAGGGAGAAGACTTTTTATCCATCTCCTGTCGAGAAAAATATGTGTTCCTTTTCACAGTGGCAAAATCCTAATGGAAATTGAATTCAGTATGTGACTTTAGTTGCAGTTATGAAACAGTACTTAATACTAACCAATTTTACTTCTTTAGCATAACTTTTCATTTTTAAGTGGACCTGTATGTTGCCTATTCTAGTATCCTACTTTTTTTCTACTGATCATACTTACCCTGTGTGTTCCAGGCTCCCTGTGTGTCCTACCTCTTACTATCAAGTATGGGACAGCATGTAGCTCTCTGCCCTTCTTCCTACAGTGCAGTGCTGGATGCCGAACAGTCAATGGAAAGGCCCAACTACACTCACTTGGAGATAGGGGAAGGGTCCTTTTCTTTATGTAAGCTGTGATCGGATATTTTACAGGTTTTTATCTCAGGGCAGGTAGGGGAACAGTGTAGAACAGGAGCGCAGGGAAGTTACATATTGGGTCATTCTGGGCACCTGTTATGAAGTAGCAAGATGCTCCTCCCCATCCTAGCTCCTGCAATAAAGTGGTTGTAAAGTTAAAAGGTTTTTTACCTTAACCACGTGCCCTTCAGAGGATTTACCCCCATACCTGACCAGGCCATTTTTTGTGATATGGCTCTGCTTAATAATGGCATGCAATTGCAAGCTGCAGTTTCTAAAGCAAGCAAAATCCTCTCTTGTATTAAAGGAGGTATAGACCCCAGAGAGGGAGATATCACATTACCCCGGTACAAATCATTAGTAAGACCTCATCTGGAATATGCAGTTCAGTTTTGGGCACCAATTCACAAAAAGAACATTGGGGAACTGGAGAAAGTACAGAGAAGGGCAACCAAACTGATAAGAGGCATGGAGGAGCTCAGCTATGAGGAAAGATTAGAGGAACTGAATTTATTTTCTCTTGAGAAGAGGAGATTAAGGGGGGATATGATCAACATGTATAAATACATCAGTGGTTCATATAGTGAACTCGGTGTAGAGCTATTCACCCCGAGGTCATCACAGAGGACAAGGGGGCACTCTTTACGTCTCGAGGAAAAGAGATTTAATCTCCAAACACAGAAAGGTTTCTTGACAGTAAGAGCTGTGAAAATGTGGAATAGACTCCCTCAAGAGTCGGTACTGGCCAGCTCAGTGGATTTCTTCAAAAAAGGCCTGGATTGTTTCTTAGATACACAGAATATAACTGGATACTAACATTTATAGGTAAAGTTGATCCAGGGAATATCCGATTGCCTCTCGGGGGATCAGGAAGAAATTTGTTTCCCAGCAGGAGCAAATTGGATCGTGCTTTGCTGGGGGTTTTTTTTGCCTTCCTCTGGATCAACTGTGGGTGTAGGATTATAACTTTTTTTTTTTTGGTTGAACTGGATGGACTTTTGTCTTTTTTCAGCCAGACCAACTATGTAACTATGTTACGTTAGCTGACAATTGCATGGTCATCAGTATAGTGTCAGTGCTTTTTATTAGCACTTATCACTGTATTAGTGTCAGTTCCCACTCAGTGTCAGAATGCCCGCTGCAGTCCCGTAGTCCCACTGTAAGTTGCTGATTGCCGCCATTACTAGTATAAAAAAATTTAAATAAAAATTCCAGTATATATACCGCCATTTGTAGATGTTATAACTTTTCACATAAACCAACTAATATACACTTATTGGGATTTTTTTTAGCAAAGACATGTAGCAGAATACATTTTTGCCTAAATTTATGAAGAATTTAGATTTTTTTTCTACTTTTTTTATTAGATATGTTTAATAGCAAAAAGTCAAATTTTTTTTTCAAATTTTTTTTTTCAAAATTGTTGATCTTTTTTGTTTACAGTATAGCGCAAAAAAATAAAAAATGAATTTACATCCTTTTTTCCCCTTGAATAGAGCTTCCTTGCAGTGGTATTTGATCGCCTGTGTATTTTATTTTTTGCGCTATAAAAAAAAAAAAAAAAAGATCGACAATTTTGAGAAAAAAAAATATATTTTTGACTTTCTGCTCGTAAACATGCCCAGTAAAAAAATAAAAAAAAAATAAATTTCTTCATACATTTAGGCCAAAATGTATTGTGTGACATGTCTTTGCTTAAAAAAAAAAAAAATCCCAATACGTGTAAATTGGTTTATGCGAATGTTATAGCATTTACAAATGGCGGTATATATACTGTAAATTTTTTCTTTTTTTTACTAGTAGTGGTGGTGATCAGCGACTTATAGTGGGACTGCAGCAGCATTCTAAAACTGGGGGGAACTGACTTGGTGTCACTGACATCCCCAGTGACACCAATACAGCGATCAGTGCTAATAAAAAGCACTGACACTGTACTAATGGCACTGGGCAGGAAGGGGTTAACATGTGGGGCGATCAAAGGGTTTCACAGTAAGCTGTGTCTGTGCTTTGAACTGTAAGCACACTACTTTGTGTGGTTCTGCTATGCAAAGCCATACAAAGCAGTGTGCAGGAGTTGACAGGGGAGAGACACGTACTGTTTACATACAGTTCTCTCCCCTGTCAATAATACTCGGCGATCACCGGGTGCCGGCGAGTAATCACCAGCCGAACCCGGTGATTGACAGCCGGGGCTGTGAATAGCGGCGCGGGTAGGGCGTGCATATGCCCCCTACCCGTGAATGCAAAATCATGTATATATACGTGATTTTGCACACCCCTGCCGCCCTGTATCAGTATATAGGGTGGCGGGCAAGTGGTTAAAGGAAAACTGGCATAACAGCAAAAAAAAAAGTTAGCTGTATATTTCTCACTATTACCATAACCTCGCTGTTGCACAAAGCAGTTGAGAAGGCGTTACTGAAATAAAGAACAGTGTGTACAACTCAATCTTCAACCCTGATGATGACCCAAACTACAGCTACAAATCTATGCCAATCACCAACTACAATCTCTTCTGTGTGGACATTTCCAAACTCCTCTCTCATATGGTCATTGCTTCAGAACTCCCAGAATAATGACTCTTGAGATCTTTGTGCTGCTTAGATGCTCTTCCTTATGAACAAACTTGTTTCTGGCCTGGCAGAATCTGCCACTTTAAGTTCAAGAATCTTGCCTGTTGCTCTTCACCACACACCAAAAGAGCTGCATGCCCCTTAAATCCAAAGTCACTTAAACATTTTGCACTCAAATTTACTATTTCCCGTACCCAAATCCCTTTTTTCCCTCTTCTTCCCCCCAAGTAAGCAAAGTATCTGCAATAGCACTGACAATATCTTTCAAAAGATACATTCCAAATTTTGTATTGATCTCTCTCCAGCCTCCTTCCACATACAACTCTTTTCTCACAGGAATTGAGTGCTTTTCATAAAACATAACATCTTTTTAAAAATATTTTCAAAATTTTAAATCTAGCAGATCTAGACTACACCTTTACTCTTCTGCAACCCAAATTTATACTAGATTAGGTAATTTACTTATCTTCCCCATCCACCTCTCCTAACTGCATATAACAATTATGTGGTCCATATATTCTCTATATTAATAACCCTTAATTGGGATGCACCCCCCTTTCCTTTAATATTTTTCCCTCAGACTAAATTGCAATCCAGTTTCCTTATTTCTGTCTATAAAATACCTAGGGATATGTTTGACCCCATTTTAGCTCTCCTTATATATAAACTGTGTCCATTTTTCAAATAACTGAAAAGAGGGTGAAATTTGACTCCTATAACATCTTGTAGTTTGTCAGGATGACGTTTTAGATGAACTCCTTGCCTAACTGCTTTTCTTGCTTTAACTCCCCCCCCTCATTCCTTAATCAGAATCCCACCACCATTTCTGCACTCTGGACTCTCAGTGACTCCATTCTAGAACAAGTAGGAGCATACTATGGACTTGTAGGTCCCAGGAGGGTTTCCCAATCTCAATTTATGTTAATATTATTGATCTCTCTCCTGTCCAAACTTACTGCTCCTAAACTGAATTCTCAGTTCTTCCCCTGTCCATGCCTAGTGTTTATTGTGGTCTCCATCATGCACCTTCCTACTTTTTTTCCTATTCCACTCAGTGATATTCGTGAAGAAAATTCACATTTTGTAATAAGGGATTTAAACACAGGGTCCTACCTCAAAACCCTGAGTATAAAACCACACTTCCAAACAATTCTAGATACAAATAGTATTTATTTGTGTTGTGTCTTAAAAGTGTAAACTTTATTTAGTTCAGGATAGTGTTGTGAGGAGATAGAACCCTTGTCAGGTATTGCCGATTGCAAAAAAAGGCAGCATGCCAGACAAAATCCAAATTAAAGGTTTACTAGAGTCCCATATCACTGCCATATCAGAGACATCTCTGGTCTGCCATGCTCTCAAAACATCATTTTTCCTGATATGGGACTCTAATAAACTTTTCATGTTTTCATCTGGGGTGCTAACTTTTTTGCAATTGGATTTACACTGCTCCACCATTTAGCCAAGCATCCACCATGCCTCTTAATTTGGCATGGTGACCATTGTCACTGAGACTGGAAGTGAGAGAAAATCCAAAACTTTGAGCTGTCACTGGAAAACAATAGGAGAAAATATCTTCCAATGGGGACACTTGTTTCAGTGACAATTTCATAGGAAGGGGGCATCTTTTACTTTTAACATCCTCTCACCTTCAGTTTTGTCTGTGCAAAACAGGAATTCTCTCATGGGGATTACAAAAAAAGAAATAAAATGTGACAGGGTTTTTATCCTTGCTCTACTCTATGCAAAACAAAGAAAGTTTTGGATATGCTTTAATAAATTCCTCAGATATACTAAAGTTTCAAGAGAAACATAGTATTGCATAAAATAAAGGGCATTGTGCCACCTGCCTATAACCTCTAAATATAACAAAACAAGTTGTATGTTGTAAAAAAAACTATTTGTTTAAAAATCTATATATTAGCAATAAAGTTTTTTTTAATTTAATGCTATCTAAAATGTACCTTTCATTTAAATCTGCAGCCAGCTAATGCTTTCTAAAACTAAAAAAACCCACAACTGTCACTTTTGTGCTGCCACTGGAGGTGCTGAGCACACAAGAGACACAAAGCGCATCCACAAATCTCATTTCCCTTTCATGGGTTTGAATTTGCAGTGGGGTTTGCTATCATTCTTGCAATGTATAAAAGTATTCTGCAGAAGACTTCACTCAGCCAAAGTGCAATTTCACTGTCAGTATCAAATATTTTTTTGCAGGGCATTTGTCTTTTTTGGAGATGTAACATCTAACCTTTTTGAGACTTATCAATTATTTCCAGAGAAGAGACATACTCTCGATTTCTAAAAAAACTTCCTGTTGGCTCTTACTTGACTGACAGGTTTTCAAATTTACATTCCCACACATGTTATAACAATTGCTTTTTAAAAAGCATTATGCATGTGTGGAAATTTGCTATTGTTTTTTATGATGCTAATTCACATATGTGCACTGCTTTGACGTGTTGGCTAAAATAGTTCATTTTTTTCCATTCATCAATGCATGTTATGAGGGCATTTTGAGAACGATGCCCATCAGAAATCAATGCAACAGCATAAATATGAATTTAGCCTGAATGAATCTAACCCTAACATGGAAATTCGATTGAAGACATGAGCAAAGAACAAAATAGGACGGTGTGAGAGTTAGGGCCTGCAGAGAACATGGACCCGGGAGATGTTGTGAAAAACAAGAGGAAAATTACTAGCATCATGAAGAAAATTTAACAACTGTGAAGCTCACATCTAATTTCTTACCATTACAAAGAATGAATTAGAAGAACATCTCACTGATCAAGATTGAAATCCACCTGCTAGCCATTTTACCTTTTTAATTCTAGACTTACGATTGATATTTTCTTAATAGGTCTGTATAACAAAACACTAAACCCAGCTAATTCAACCCTCTTACTGCCCTTTCCAACCTGGCCAGAGTGTGGGAAAATTATTGAGGCTGAATAAATGATGTATAAAAACAGTGGAAAGTTTTTAATGTGTTGGCCAAGACCTTGAACTCAGATATCCTTTAAAAAATGTATTCCCCAAAGAATCCCAGGATAGTAGAGGAAAGAAAAAAAAATCAATGTGACAGTGGAACGCCTCTGACATATTTCAAATGAGTTACAACACTGAAAGATCAATCAATTTATTTCAGATAACTTTTTGAGCCTTACCCTGCTCTCCTTTTGTGCCACAAGGTTAACAGATGTAATGAAGACACATCTATTAGTCCATTCGGACAGTAAATTTAATCACCCGCCAACTCATCCTCTGTATTCCCTAACTATCACCTCAATGGTTCTTCAACATATCTCAATTCATTGCTAAGGCAAATACTACGGCAACTTCTGTTGACAAACATTAGGCTGATCTTCGAAAACATAAAAATTTACATCTCCATTCCTTGCCCTGGAATGTTTGCATCGGCATCAATTTACCATGTTTTATTAATAACATTTTGAAACAGCATATTACAGTCAACAATGTGGAAATTATAGAAGTCACTTTTTATCAACACCTTAACATATCATTAAAACAGCCGTCGCGGCATGATAGATTGAGAGAGAGAGAGAGAGGAGAGGGAAAAAAAGACTCAAACTGCAGATAAATTATCCACTCCCCAGTGGTTCCAAAACAATTACAGGATGCAGAGCAATCTAGTTAAATTTTATTCAAAAGCTTACTGCACTTGTGTTTTCTCTTATTTTTCTATCAATGAAACCCTTGAGGTTTAAACACAATTCATTATGTATGAGGCCCAACTTACATTGCTTGACTGTTGATTAATAGGAAGTTTGCTGTGTGTACATTTCCGACATTGGATGCATGCAATATGCCATCTTATTTTTCCACCCAAGCTAATTATTTACAAAAATTACTACTTGAGACTAGCATTTATTAAAGATAGGCATCCCGTATCTGCCGGGCCCCAATAGGCTGGCCAGAATGAAGATCTTCTAAATGGAGTGACAACTTTCTAGAAAGGCAGGTATTAACACTGCAAATGCAGAAAATAAAGCGGAACAGGAACCATGTTGCTTGTCGTGTTCCGCTGCAATGAACAAAGAGGACTTAATTAGTTTAGGAAAAAAGGCATATTTTCCACTGCTAAACTTTTAGTGCTGTCTTTTATTTTTTCGACAGAAGAAGTGAAGGAATGCAAAGCTGCTGTCAGCACAGTTAAAAAGCCAACAATGAAAAAAAATGTTTTTTTTTTTTTTTTTTTTGCAATAACGATATATAACCTAGAAATCTTATTCAATTGCTGTTTTATTAACCACTTCAGTCCCAGAACAACACCCCCCACCCCCCCATCACCTCTACCTTCTTTCATTGCCAGCCTTTTTTTTTTTCTTTTTCTAGATGTGCTGTTTCCTTTTAGTTGGTTATCCTAACATGAGGTAGCAGATTTGGACATTTTTTATCTTCTAGGTGTAATTCAGAAAGAAAGATAGAATAAAATGTTCAAAAAAGCTTGTTCTATCAGATTATGTTTTACTGTCCAAGTCGGGTCAAGGAAATTTCCCTTTTGTCCTGGAGTCCCGACAGGAAATCTGAGGAAATTCCTTAAGGTGAGGGGAATTCCTATTCTAAAGAAAAATTGTCACCTAGACATTTGTTCCTACGAGATAATTTATCTTTTTCGCTTGTTCTTGTAACAACTCTAACATTTTGGATTTTCCTTT